GTGTCATAATTGTGAGCTAGGTAGTATTCTGCACAAACGAAAATATACTGATAGATCTCCAAAATAACATCAAAGTAAAATACTCCGTACAAGGGAAGTATTGAGAACTCTTCAAAAACAAACTCTTCATCTGTACATGGCGCAGACAGGTCAAGCATCCCTTGTTTAAATGCAGGGGACCAGCAGTGTTTTGGATTTCAGATTTTTGGGGGGAGATTTTAGAATACTTGCATATACATAATAAGATATATTGGGGATGAACCCCTCCAAGTTTAAAGACAAAATTCATTTGTATTTCATATATATCTTATAGCCTGCAGGTAAGTTTATACAGCAGTTTAAGTAATGTACATGAAACAAAGTTTATATACCTTAAACCATCAGAAAGCAAAGGTGTAGAATTTTCTACTCTGGCATTCATGTCAGTGCTCAAAATGTTTTGGATTTTTGGATTTCAGATTTTGGATTTTCAGAGTAGGGATGTCCAGCCTGTAGTAGGCATTTTTAATGGTTTATTGAGTCAGTGAGTAAATTACTGCATCAAACTGGAGTACTGTTAATTAATGACTGTTAGAATAATGTACGTATTCCCTAACTTCCCATTTCAATATTTTTTCTACTACACTTCATAAATACATCCTCCCCTTAAGCAGTTCTATAGAGTACGTATAAATGCATCTAAAATTACACAGGCCTCAATATACCACTAAGTATATACACATATACAATATAATGTAAAAAGTGTGACCTCGAATATATCCTAAACCTGATTCATCTGAAACATATGTATACAGATGAAACAATTTGTAATAGCTTTGATGAGTTAGTTTTCCATATTTTTCTTGAACATTGTCCATAAGGGAAGCAAGAACTGAACTATATTGAAGGTGCGCCATACTCTGCCTATCAAACTATTTAATCAGAACATCTCCTTAATGGAGTTGCTTATCTGTGAACATCTATGAGAAACCATTTCTCATAGATGGGTTTCTTATTTTGAAGGGGTGGGAAAGACAAATGAAGTATCCCTCTGGGCTGAGACTGATCCAAAGAGCTGAGAATGAAGACCGAGTCAAGAATTGTCTCTGCCAACAGCCTAGATTGGTGACCAAGGTTGGGGCTTAATCTATTCCAAGTATTTCTAAATTTGTTATATCATTATTTTTATTTTCAGAGCTACACATCAATAAAAAAGTTATTTAAACTGTCTTTGCATGCACACACACATTTCCAAATATCACCAGGGAAGCAGTGTGTAGTAGTCTTCAGTTTACAAAAAAAAAAAAAAAAAAAAAAAAAAAAAAAAAAAAAAAAAAAAAAAAACAGAAACTTTACTTGAATTCTAACTTTAAAATTAGATTTGCAGTTTTAGAGTGCTAACATACTTTTAAGGTAGAATTGAACTTTCTGACACTAAAGTGAATACAATTCTGTAAGTGTTGAAATGTGTTTCTACTATTTCTAATGAAATGATGGGTAGTAATAAACTATCCTATGATTGTGCAGCAGGCTTGAATAGCAGCCTCAGGTATCCCTAACTGGCTAAGAGTTACTAAATCAAATTAGGTAATGAAAGAAAGCATAAGCACAAAAGTGGAAAGAGGCTCCCCAAATTTTGTTTTTATTGAAATGATGCTACAAAACAAATTTCTCTATTTAGCCAAAGAATAGTTCTTAGGCATTTTTACTCTGTAAGCCTTTGGAATGGAATATATCACCCCTGGATTATTTATTATAAACTGTAGAGGAGTTTAGACAACTGTACTGTCCAAGAAGGTGGCCACTAGTCACATGTGGCTCTTTAAATTAATTAAAATGAAGTGTGTACTAAAGTTCCTCAGCTGATTTGCCACATTTCAAGCTGTCAGTTGGCCCATGTGTTCAGTGGTGCCATATTGACCAGTACAGATTTAGAACATTCTCTGCAGTGTAGAAAGCAATGCTGGTAACTCACCAGTGTAGCTGGTGCTCCTGAGAACACTCTCTAGTTGATGGTGGCTTTTTAGACAAATGGATTCAGGAGGCATTTTTGGAATTGCATTTTAGTACGTAGTGGGAAATACCACTTATTATCTTAAATAGTATATAACATTTTATTTTTATTTTTATTTTCTCATGCCAAAATGATTTGCACAATTTCACAAGATCCTGTAATATCTAAAAGACTTTCTAAATGGTTGCTGTAGCTTGTCAAAATGTCTATAGCTCATGCGGCAGTTCTCAAAACTTCTATAGATTTGGGATTCATTTAGGAAACGTAGGAGACAGTCATATTGAGCGCTGAGTACTCCTGACACTAGATGTGCTGACAGGTGACAAGAAAAAGAAAATATTTGTAAAGAGTATTAAGATTTTCACAGGATACATGTTGTTCTAATATTTAGATATTAGAATGAATACTGACTTAATATTATTCTCATTTACATTTGTATGCTTTGGTTAATACCTATTAAAAATTATGCTATTTGTTAATGGCATCGCATCGTTAGTGTACTCTGTGGTGGTTTTGTTAATGTGACATATCCAAGATATAACAAAATTGTTTTGTTTTGTTGTAAACAGGGAGCAGAGAGTACTCCTGAGACCTTAGAGAAAGGGTTCTTTCTTCTCATTTTGTTCCTGTGGGAAGGATTTTCAGAAATTTTTGTCAGACACTTTTCCATCACTTGCCAGCTGTGTTCTGCATGCCTGAGTGTTACTCAGGCCCCAGTTGATAGGGAACCCCAGTAGAGCTTCAGAAGAAAAATGTCCGCAGCTTAGCACTAATTCTCAGAGCAGCAGCATCTGCCTGCTCTAGGAGATTGTTAGAAATGTAGACTCTGGGGCCCACTCCAGACCCTCCAAACCCAAGTGTCTTCTAGAGCAGTGTTGGCAGACTTTGAGCAGCACCATAATCACCTGGGGGAGTGCTTGTTAAAATCCGGATCCCTCTGCCCCTCCCCCAGAGTTAAAGTGGGGTATGATTCTGATTGCTCTGACTCGTCTAGAATGTTTTTTAATGCTGAAAAGACGTTCCACACTGATGCTGCAGCTGCGGGAACAGGGGCTTCCCTTTGAAAACCACTGCTCTAGGGGCAGCTGGGACTCATTTGGTTGCAAGGTGAAATCACCTGCTGAGTTTTCCAAAAACACCTGATACCTGGGTCTCACCTTCAGGGATACTGAATTAAATGGCAATGGTAAGTCATGATTATTGACATTCTTTTAAAAAAAAACAAAACTGCCCTGGAGATTATAATATACAGCTAGATTTGAGAAGCCCAGTCTATTGAACATATGTTTCATGCTCAGAGCTGCCCACTGGGAGAGAAGCAAAATTGCATCAAAGCTGCCCCTCAATGACTCTGGATGAAGCTGGACTATTTTTCTGGGGTTCAGAGTAAGCACACCCACATCTGCAGTGTTCGTCCCCCATCCTCCACACATAAGACCCTCGTAGCCTCCGTTCCACAAATATTCCTGGTATCTCTACCCTGTTCTAGTTGCTGGAGGCACGTCACTGAATGGAGCTTACATTTTACTTTCACTCTAAACGTTAACATAATTGCTTTATAGATTGTATGTGTATTTGTGTGTACTTGAGAATATTTAAAATATATACACCATACATAAATACACGTACATACACACTGCATAGAGAATGTCTCTCACCAAAGTGTTTTATCTACCTCATGTGCCAGGCTCCTCCTAATACAGGATTTCAATATTGTTCAATTAACTCCCTCAGCTCTGCACATGAACTTGACATCCCAGATAAAATTTGGAATGGCTGTGTATGTGCAGATGTAAGTGCCCAGTCTATTATTTGCCAGTTGCTATTCCAAAACGGGTGGAGAGGCATAATTGAAACTTTTAATGGCTAGCATCTGTTCAGTCTTCTCTTCCTCCCTTCTCTCCATCTCTCCCGAGTCCTCCTCCCCACTCACCTCCCACCCCTCATTTCAAAACCCTCCTTCCCAGCTTCTCTCCAACTCAGGGTACAATCCTACCCCATTTTCACACCAGTAGGATCCCCCGGGAAAGCCTGGAAGGTCTGAGACCTCCTGCCCAGAAGTGGTTGACAATGTAGTGTTTTCATTCGAATGCAAATTTGTCTCTGGACCAGATTCAAGGAAAGTGCTTTCCCCTCCAACTGTCTCTCCAGCTCCTCCGCAGTCCTTGTTGTCTTTTGTGTTCTTGTAAATAAATGAGAGGAGACTGGCTTTCAGTTTGAAGACACAGCTGCAGGGGGCTCTTAAAGGGAGCTAGAGAGAGAGAGAAAGATGCTGAAAGATTGGGAGCTCAGTGTTAAAATCTAGAAAAGGGAGGCTTTTTTCGTGTTCTCATTTCCAATTGCTCTGATTCCTCTAGAATTTTTTTTTTTTTTTTAACTGCTGAAAAGACCAAGCGGATTCATTCTGACTTAATATTTTTCCCTCCGTTTAACTTTTCTTTGTCCAAAAAGAAGAATCCACGCGACAATAGCGGCAGAATATACTGTAAGAAATATGTTTATTCTTGATGTTCTCCAGATAAGTATAAACTGGACTATTCTCAGAGGTAGAAAGTGTATCCAGTGAAATAACCTGAGGCAAGGGTGGGAAGTGGGCACCGAAGAAGATTTACTGCTCGAATTTCTCATTAAAACTAACATCTCGATCGCGTCCAGGGAGATCATGATTACCCTGTCGGGGGGCCTTTAAAAATCTTTACGTGACTAATGCGATGCTTCTGCTATTCCCGAAATAACATCGACATGTCAGCGAACACAGGTCTCTTTTGTCAAACGTGACTTCCTTCCAGTAGTCAGCCGGCCTGTGCCAGAGTCGGGACCAGAAACCCGCCCCAGGAGAGGCCGGGGCGCAGGTTCGCGTCCCGCCCCGAGCGCAGCTGGGCTCGCCAAGCTGCCGGGCTCCCGCGGTGTCCCGGGTGTCTCCCCGCGCTCGGGGCCGGGCTGGGCCGGGGGGGCCGGGTTCTTCTCCCTCGCTAAGTGCGCGTGTTCTCTCCTCTCCCGGGCACAGGGCACGACCAGCCGCGCCGGCCACCTGGCGGGGCCCGAGCCCGCGCCGCCGCCGCCGCCGCCGCCGCGGGAGCCGTTCGCGCCCAGCCTGGGCAGCGCCTTCCACCTGCCCGACGCGCCGCCTGCCGCCGCCGCCGCCGCCGCCGCGCTCTACTACTCCAGCTCCACGCTGCCCGCGCCGCCGCGCGGGGGCTCCCCGCTGGCCGCGCCCCAGGGCGGCTCGCCCACCAAGCTGCAGCGCGGCGGCTCGGCCCCCGAGGGCGCCACCTACGCCGCGCCGCGCGGCTCCTCGCCCAAGCAGTCGCCCAGCCGCCTGGCCAAGTCCTACAGCACCAGCTCGCCCATCAACATCGTCGTGTCCTCGGCCGGCCTGTCCCCGATCCGCGTGACCTCGCCCCCCACCGTGCAGTCCACCATCTCCTCCTCGCCCATCCACCAGCTGAGCTCCACCATCGGCACGTACGCCACCCTGTCGCCCACCAAGCGCCTGGTCCACGCGTCCGAGCAGTACAGCAAGCACTCGCAGGAGCTGTATGCCACGGCCACCCTCCAGAGGCCGGGCAGCCTGGCAGGTAAAGGCTCGCTGCCACCTGGCGCGGCTCACCCGGGCGCGTGGCGGGGGCGCGGGGCCGCAGCCGGGCTCCAGCAGAAGTGAAGCGGGGCGCGCTGTCCGCCAGGTTTGAAGTAGTGGCAGGAGATAGAGAACTCCAGGGCTTCCCTGGAACAAGTTCAGCGTCTTCCTTGCAGTTTGCCGGTGACTGCTCTTTGGGAGTAATGTGGTGTCTCAATCTCTAACACCTGCCTCACTCTCTGCTCTCCTCTCTTCTCTCTCTGCCTCTCTCCCCATTCTAAAGACTAAATCATGTAAGACACATTTAGGAAAACATCCCATAGACCTGTTGATGGTTATCTAGAAAAAAAGCCAAACAAGTAACAGTTGCAGTATAGACAGGGTCACCTGTAAGTTGTCTGTGTTTTATTGTGGAAAAAGAAGGGATTTTCCCAAATTAGACATTCAGCTTGCATAGTTTTCAATAGTAGTGGGGAAATAACCAATAATGAATTGCCTTGAATTATGACTTTTGTTTAGGCTTGTATTTATTTAGCTTGTATCTCTGCTAAATTAGACAGTGGGAAAACTAAAGGACTCTCCGGTACCTGTCATTGGATGTACTTGTGTCCGAACACTTGGGACAAAGTCAGCAATGATGTCCCTTGAATTTGTACCTGCTTTATTACAGGGAGGGAGGGGCTGGGCCAGGGGGGAGAGAAACCTGCTTTCCTCTGCCAGTTTAGAGGAGGTGACATTTCTGTGGTTGTTATGCCCGTCAGCGACCAGGCTGAGCTGGCGCTTCTCTGCTGTTGGCACCATATGCTCAGCTTAAACAAGACACCATGATTGAAAGACTAATGTTTTGTCTTCTGAAACACCTGACAACTAACCCGGATTTATTGTGGATTTTTTTTCCCTTATAGAAGTATTTGGTAATTGTGTCACTCTAGTAACAGATGCTCCGCTCATATGTTTCCTTTCTTGACACAAATAGATGACTGTGAAGATAAACAGGATAAAAAAGGAACTTGTTGCATGCACGAGGCAGGTGGCCAAGGACTTCTTTAATTCAGCACAGTAATTGCCACTGTGGACTGGCCTGGCCTAACAGAATGCAGGCTGCGGTGCCACTGCCTACAAAATTATGCTAGCTACGTTTACTGAAATGAAAATATTCTCACTCACAGCTTCTCTCTCAAATAGAATTTTTGAGGTAGACAATCATTAGTGCCAACCCAATGTGAGTACCAAAATCTCTATGCTGTAGGGACTCAGGAGTAGCGATCTGCTTGGAAGAGCAGGCGAGTAAACACGTACTGAAACTTCATGCGTATGATTTTGTAAAATAAGTTACCAGATCATGTCCAGAAGGGGGAGATGGGAGGCGTTCTTACCAGATTCCATGACGCCCTTCTTAGCCACACCCACCACTGTAGAGAAGAGGAAACTGACGTACTGGGACTCCAGGTGGCCTGCTAGAGGTCTTTTCGTTTCTTACAAGTACCTCATGAAAGAAAGGAGTCTTAGCTTCCAGCGCTTTTTCCCACAGGTGAGATGTGTAGACTTTTGGTTGTTCTACTCTATCGTTTCAGAAGAAATCGAGAGTGCGGCCGTGCGGCTGCAGATACCTGTGGAGAGGTTAGGGGAGTGTGAATGGAGCAGAGTAGCGCCAACAGCTCCTTCTGTCATTGTGTCTAAGAGGGGCTGTAAAAGTACTTTGTAAAAATAGCTTATGTTGCCCTTGGGTTGTCCAGGGAAGGTATAAGGGACAAACTTCATGCTTCTGAGAGATCAGGAGTATTGGAACTCTGAGACCCCCATGTCTGATTTTGTGTGCTTGATATCATACAAGGCACTCTGAAGTTGGGAGCTACTTGGTTTGCTAGGTGAAAGAGTACAGTTAGGTCAAGATGGCAAAACACGTTTTGGGATTTCAGGATTGTGATTTTGCAGATTTGTCACTGATAAATAGGAAGGGTGGATATAGGATAGGTAGTGACTTTCACTAATTCATATATATATATATATATATATATATATATATATATATATTTAAAGACAAAGTATCACTCTGTTGCCCAGGCTGGAGTGCAGTGGTGCAATCTCAGCTCACAGAAACCCACCTCCTGGGTTCAAGTGATTTTCCTGCCTCACCCTCTCTAGCTGGAATTACAGACACCCTGACCCCACACCTGGCTAATTTTTGTATCTTTTGTAGAGACTGGGTTTCACCATGTTGGCCAGGCTGGTCTCAAAGTCCTGACAAGTGATCTGCTCACCTCAGCTCCCAAAGTGCTGCGATTACCGGCCTTAGCCACCGTGCCTGGCCACCTTCTATAATTACTTTTAAACACCTTTTATGTACTGCCACTGACTTAGATCCTAGGGATAAAATACCAGCCAAAATCCCTGGCCTTGTTTCAAATGAGGAAGATAGAAAATCATCAAAATACTTTTGATAGATGGCCAGGAAAGGCTCTAATTAGGAAGTGACTTTTTAATATATAATTTGCAACTTTTATTTTAGATTCGGGGGTACCTCTGTGGGTTTGTGAGCTGGGTTTATTGCATGATGCTGAGGTTTGGGGTACAGTTGATCCTGTCACCCAGGTACTTAGCTTAGTACCCAATAGTTTGCTTTTAGATTCCAGTGGTGCCATTAGTTAGTACACAGTACTTACACAGAAGGTAACTTTGAATCTGTCCTGAAGTAGGTGAGTGAGCTAGCCCTATGGCCATCTGGGCAGAAGATATTCTAAGCAGAAGGACCAACAAGTTCAAGGACTTAGAAATGTGGGTATGCTGATATGTTTGCTGAATAGCAAGGAGATCAGGGGCCTAATCAGAGAGAATAAGAGCAAACACATGACTTGAGGTCAGCAATGTGGGAGTAGAAGGCCAGGTCAGAGAGGCCTTACAAGTCTTGTGGAGAACTTGATGCTGGCTTTACTAAACCCATGGGCACCACTGAGGATTTGAGCAGAGGAGTAATGCATTCTCATGTAGTTTTAAACAGGGTCACTTGGGCTGCTGTTTGGAGAGTAGACTATCAAGATCAAAGGCAAAAGCAAGAATGTCAGTTGAGAGGTGATTGCAGTAATTTAAGCAAGAGGTGATTATCGTTTGGGTCAAGATGGAAGCATTGGAGGTTATGGAAGACAATGTATTAGAGTTCTGTAAGTATATATAAGGTATAGCCACTGAGATTTTCTCATGCACTAGGCGATGATGGTTAGAGAAAGAGAACTGAAAGTACCACCCACCCACCCAACAACCAGAAGAATGGAGTCGGCATCGATTGAGATGGAGTGGGCTGCAGAGGCACCGGGTGGTCTGGGAATGGTTCTGGTAAATGCTAAGATCTTCGTTTGGCATAGGTGATATCTGTCAGAAACAAAGGGCACATGGCCAGTAGAAAGTTGGATATATGGAGGTTAGAGTTTTTTCAACTTTTTCTTGTTTCTCAAGAAAACATTTCCAGAAATTAGAAGTTGTAGCTGAGGGTTTCAGGTCATTGATTATAGCGGGCACTTGGTAAGGAAACACACATTCACAGTTTGCACTTCCTGATGGCCAAGACTTAGAAGGTCTGACCAGAAATGTCAGAGTTCTGACTCTCTGGGAAAATACCACGATTCACATTCAAACCAAAGAGTGTAACTTCTCACGTGTTAAGTCATCACAGCCCAAAGATACCCGGATAGTTTTTAAAATGTCTTTTCTTTTATTAAAAAAAAACAGTTGTATCTGCTTTTTTTCATATAAAGCTACTTGAGTGGAAGCCCAGCTCTGCCTTGGTGGAGCTCCCTAAGGCTGGGGGACTCGTGGTTCTCCAGCTTGAAATTATTCCCTGATAAAAGGGGTCATGATTGTATCTATTCATGTACTTTTGCACATAAATAAGGTAACATAGGGAAAGTACTAGCATGTTTTCTGGCTCCACAGAAGTTAACTCATATTATTTACTAATACCTACCATAGTACCTTAAGTGTGCAAGGAAGAAGTCATCCACCTTTGCTTCAGACACAAAGCAGGTTTATTGAATCCCAAAACGTGTCATTGTCTGTGTTGGGCACATGCAGATGAGTGAGACGTAACCCCTGGTTTCGAGAGACCTAGTTTCGGAACAAACACAGGAATGGGCAGTGTTAAAGCCACTGCAGAGTGAGACAGAAGCTAGTTACTATGGGAGCAAGCTAGCGGAGCATCTTGCAGTGGGGTTCAGTGTGCACCCGGCATGCTTCCTTGATGAGGTGGTCCCAGAGCAAAGCTGTAAAGGAGGAAGTAGAAAGAAACGGTAGCCAGAGCAAAGTCAGAGTTGAGAAGGTATGTGGGGGGTGCGGGGAGGCAGGGGAAGACAACTGGCAGCTCAGTTAGAAGGTCTGACCGGAAATTTCAGAGTTCTGAATCTCTGGAAAAACACAGAGAGTCAGAGTTTCTCGAGCAAAGACAGAGTGTTAGGGGGTGGTGAGAAATGATGGCGCAGAGGGAGATAAGGCTGTTGCATTAAATTTCTAAGGTAATGGACTTAGAAATTTATCTTTCCAAGGGACAACTGACGTAGTCATGTTTGGTTGGTAGAAACTTTCTTCTGGGAAGTGTGTGGAGGCTGAAGTTACAAAGAAAAAAATGGACAGGGAATCACATTGGAAGCCAGTGAAAGAGTCCTTCACTGCTTCTAAAAACTCCTGTTTGTTTTGAATGGGACGATACAAAAGTTATCATTTCCAAATGGTTGAGAAAAAATGCTAGATCAGTGATATAACCTACTTTTTTATATTTTTCCTGACCCAAATTTTGCTTAATTTAATTTTTTTATAAATTAAGTTAAATGTATTTTAATAAATCTCATGTCCCCAGCAACTTAATGAGGCAGGCATGATTTTTACCCCATTCTGGAGATTTGAAAACTGAGGCTTATGGATGATAATATCCTTGCCCAAAGTTACTTGTCTAGAAATGATAGGGATGTGATTTGAACATAGGTCACTTTCACTCAAGAATCTCTGTATCCTTAA